TCTTTTATTATCTTCACCTCTTCATCCCATTCATCCTCCTCACAGACCAGGGGATGGATCTTAGTGACACGGCAGCAGGAGACCATCAGCTCACGGAGCCTTCTGAGCCTTCTGAGACTTTGAAACCTAGTGAAGAAGAGCGAAAATAATCAGAAAATGGGTTCTAGATTCTTTCTTGATTCTATCTAACAGCTAAACTTGGTTTCAGAAGCCTCTATTGGAGAGCAAATAGTTGCTCTTCCCAAAGCCCTCATCCCATCCCTGAACTCTTCTTGAATCAGGAAGCTGCCTCCTCTCCCGTCCCCCCTCAGTGACCCTGCTGGCCTTCCTGTTCCTGATGAACAAATATCAGCACTCACTACCCATGTTGTCATCGGTGGCATCCACCCCTTGGTCGCATGGTCTGACAAAGATTCTTCTGATTTTCATCAATTCCACCTTTCCATTTTTCATCACATTGACTTCCTTGTCCCACTGATCCTCCTGCTCACAGACCAGGGGGTGTATCTTCAGCATGCGATAGCAGGAGACCATCAGCCCATGGAGCCTTTGGAGCCTTTGAAATCTAGGGAAGAAAAGGGAAACTGATAAGGAAATGGGTTCTAGATACTTTCTTGATACTCTTTGTCTCTGTGCTAAATTTGGGGCACCAGGCAGCTGAACCTACTTTCAGAAACCTCTCATGGAAAGTGCAGCAAACAGTTGAACCCACGGAGGAGGGCATTTTGTCAAAGGACCCTCTCAAACTGGGAGATGCCCTTCTTGTGATGATGACCACAAGGGGGAAGGCAAGCCATTTCCCTCAAAGCAGCTAAGGGGGCACCTCGTCGCGGGGATTCGAACCACTGACCTTCTGATCGGCAAGTCCTAGGCTCTGTGGTTTAACCCACAGTGCCACCCGCGTCCCTTCTAAATCTTAAGGGATAGCAAAAGAAGCAGACTGCGGAAAGAAGAAGAGATATACTTACAGGCAAGATGAAGAGATTTTCATTTTTCGGAAAACACAATTCACACAAACGACCTCTTTTCTTTGAACTATCCATAAATAGGGGGACGTGTCAGAAAGATCCACAGTCACCATCCATATCAGCAGTGGTGGCCTCCCTCCCCTGGTCGCTTGGTTGAACATATAGTGATCTCATCTTCACTAATGTTTCCTTCTTATTTTTCATGACCATCACTCCATTCTCCGATTTCTCCCTCACAGACCCCATGGGTCTCTAACAGATCAACACTCACCACCGGTGGAATCACTGGTGGCATCCATCCCCTGGTCCTTTGGTCTCACATAGATGGTTCTCACTTTAATTCTTCTCCCATCCACGATGACACTTTCTTGCCTCAAACAGTCCAGGGGATGGATTTTGATGGAGCGGCAACAGGAGGCCAGCAGCTCTCTCAACCTTCGCAGACCGGAACATCTAGGGAAGAAAAGGAAGAAGGTCACGAAATGGATTCTAGTTATTTCCTCGATACTCTCTATCCCTGCACTGCAAACCATTTCCCTCAAAGCAGCTAAGGGGGCCCTGAGGACAATCTTTAAAAATTAATCTAACCATGACCTGGTTATTATATAGGGGACTTCCGGTTTGGGATCGCGAGCAGCAGGGAGCGCGGAGAAGCCGCTGCGGGCTTTTCTGAGCTTCACGGGGGCTTGGGGGGCGAAGCAAAGGCACTGCGACCCCCAAAAATCTCAAGGCGGGCGTCCTTGAGGGATAAGCTACCAAGCGGCGTCGGCGGAGTCTCGGAGTTTTTTCGAGTTTTTTTTTAAGGCCTGTACTTAACCTGAAACTGTTCTTAACCTGAAGCACCACTTTAGCTAATGGGGCCTCCCGCTGTGCCGCCGGAGCCTGATTTCTGTTCTTATCCTGAAGTAAAGTTCTTAACCTGAAGCACTATTTCTGGGTTAGCGGAGTGTGTAACCTGAAGCGTATGTAACCTGAAGCGTATGTAACCCGAGGTACCGCTGTACCAGCCTTGATGCAGCAATGGGCAGGAATTGTAAAAAGTATTTTGGGGGTTCCTGCTTCAATATGCAAATATACATGTATCGTATACACAATACCTTATATACTTTATAATACTATTAAGCTATAAACACTATAAGGTTCTAAACATAACTATATAGCATAACACTTAACTCTATATTCTTTTACATCTATAGATAGGCGTTGCGCTTTAAAAAATATAGGATCCAAATACATTTTAACCATTTTTAAGTTTGCATTTTAACTAATTGCATTTCAAACAATTACATCTCATCAAACAAGCATTTACACAGCATGATTGCCCCTGTACTTATCTAAATGTTTCGAGATACGGCATCCGCAATAATGTTATCCTTCCCTCTGATGTGGGAGACGTCAAAATTGTAGTCTGGCAATTGCAAACTCCACCTTATTAGTTTGCTATTGGCACCTTTCACTTGGTTTAACCATTTCAGAGGGGAATGGTCAGTACAAAGGGTAAATGTTCCACCCCACAAGTATGGCTTTCATAGAATCATAGAATCATAGAGATGGAATAGACCACAAGGGCCATCGAGTCCAACCCCCTGCCAAGCAGGAAACACCATCAGAGCACTCCTGACATATGGTTGTCAAGCCTCTGCTTAAAGACCTCCAAAGAAGGAGACTCCACCACACTCCTTGGCAGCAAATTCCACTGTCAAACAGCTCTTACTGTCAGGAAGTTCTTCCTAATGTTTAGGTGGAATCTTCTTTCTTGTAGTTTGGATCCATTGCTCCGTGTCCGCTTTAACTTGCCATGGCTTTAACTTGCCAGTAGCCCACAGAATGGCTAAACATTCCCCTTCAATGACAGAAAGGTGTTCTTTCCTCCCCAAGAGATTCCTACTTAAGTATAAGACGGGATACAGTTGTCTCTTATCACCTTTCTGGCAGAGAGTTGCCCCAACTCCTATATTGGAGACATCCGTGAAAAGGCCAAAGGGCTGTAGGAAAGAGGGAGCTCTCAAAATAGGCTTCCTTGTTAAGGCTGATTTTAAACGCTCACATTCTGCTTGCCACTGGGCCGTCCACATTACCTTATCTGGGTGGTCTTTCTTTACACAGTCATGTAAAGGAGCAGCATGGGGGCTAAAATCAGGAATAAATTGGCGATAATATCCTACCACCGCCAGAAAAGCTGCCATTTGGTGTGTGTTTTTGTAGAGGGCCTAGGCCACTCACTCTCTCTTTTAATGTGTTTTTATTAAAGATTTCTTGGTTTACAAACGTATGTGCAATGTTTCTTTTTTCAAGTTACATTTTCTCCAGGTCAGCTGCATTTGTTGGGGACATTGGTGTGACATTAGGGGGGGAAGTGGGGAAGAGGTGGAAGGGGCCGTGGTGGGTTGGGTGGCAATGTATCTGTTCTACTTAATGTACGTGTGGGGTTTTGTGTCAGCGTTGTTTGTGCGGGTTCTCTTTGCTATTTGCTTGTGTGCCTTCTCAGTAGTGGCACCCGCCCTGTGGAACGCCCTCCCACCAGATTTCAAAGAGAACAACAACTACCAGACTTTTAGAAGACATCTGAAGGCAGCCCTGTTTAGGGAAGCTTTTAATGTTTGATGTATTACAGTATTTTAATATTTTTTGGAAAGCCGCCCAGAGTGGCTGGGGAAGCCCAGCCAGATGGGCAGGGTATAAATAATAAAATTGTTATTATTATTATTATTATTATTATTATTATTAGTGGTGAGAGAAGTTGGGGTTGGCCTAGGGTGTGGTTGCTTGTTTGTTATTGGCTGTGGTGAACTTTGTTTTCATGTGTGAGTGGGGTGGGTGGGTGTTTTTGAATCGGGTTAGCCAGATTGATTCATATACTGTTGACGGATTCTTGTCATTGTCTTGTTGGGCTGTGCATGTGATAAAGGAGATCCATACTGGGGTGAAGGCATTTTCTTCTATTTGTCCCTGTGTCAGTTTCAATTTATGGATTAATTTTTCTAGTAAGGCTGTTTCCCATACTATTTGGTACCATTGGTCCATGTTCGCTTCTGACAGGGCTAGGCCACTCTTGAATGACCTTTATTATGCTCCAATCAGGTTGTATCTTACCCACCCCCTAGGATGTGACCTAAATACTTTACCTGCTTCAAAGCAAACTGCCATTTAGAAGCTTTGACAGTTGACTTTGTCCGTTGGAACACGATGGCTAGATGCTGTAGATGTTCCTTCCAGGGCTGGCTGAAGATGGCTACATCATCAGTATCAGCGAGGGCAAACTCTTTTAACCCCACCAGCATCTTATCAATTAAACGCTGAAAGGTGGCCGGAGCATTCCTTAACCCAAAAGCTAAAACAATGGGCTCAAATAACCCATCTCAAGTTCTAAAAGCGGTCTTGGGTTGATCTTTAGGCTCCATCGCCACCTGCCAATATCCTTTGGTTAAGTCTATAGTAGAAATGAAATGGGCAGCCCCCATTGTCTCTACCAACTCATCTATCTTCGGTATTGGATAGATGTCAGGCACGGTCACTTGGTTTAAACGCCTGTAGCCCACACAAATTTTGTCACGAAATTAAAAGACGCCTGCTTCTTGACAGAAAAGCTATGACAAACCTAGACAGCATCTTAAAAAGCAGAGACATCACCTTGCCAACAAAGGTCTGTATAGTTAAAATTATGGTTTTCCAGTAGTGATGTATGGAAGTGAGAGCTGGACCATAAAGAAGGCTGATCGCCGAAGAATTGATGCTTTTGAATTATGGTGCTGGAGGAGACTCTTGAGAGTCCCATGGACTGCAAGAAGATCAAACGTATCCATTCTTAAGGAAATCAGCCCTGAGTGCTCACTGGAAGGACAGATCGTGAAGCTGAGGCTCCAATACTTTGACCACCTCATGAGAAGAGAAGACTCCCTGGAAAGGACCCTGATGTTGAGAAAGATGGAGGGCCCAAGGAGAAGGGGACGACAGAGGACGAGATGGTTGGGCAGTGTTCTCGAAGCTGCCAGCATGAGTTTGACCAAACTGTGGGAGGCAGTGGAAGACAGGAGTGCCTGGCGTGCTCTGGTCCATGGGGTCACGAAGAGTCGGACACGACTAAACGACTAAACAACAACAGCCCACACAAAAGCAAACAGTCTGGTCTGGTTTGGGACTATTAAACCCAGGTCCAACATCTCCCAAATCTCATTGGAGATGATGTCAGCTTGAGGACCTGTTACCCGATATGGAGGCAAAGCTATGGGTCTAGCCTCTCCAGTCTCAATTTTGAGCAGAGCCGAATTAGTCTTCCCAGGAAAATGTGAGAAGATTTTCTGGTATTCTGTAAGAACAGCTTTAACTTGCCATTCCTGTTTTTCTGTTAAATCAGGGGACAGGATCACCTCTTGCGGGGGGCTTCCTTGACTTAACCTCCCCCAGCCTGTCGAATTGACGCATGGCTTTATTTCCGACACAATTGTTTGATTTTTGACGTCACCCCCGGAGGCGCACTCCACTTCTTCACGAGACAGACAAATGCCAACATCAAAAGCTATTTGAAACAATTTTATTTCATTCACGAAAGAAAATCTGACATGTGATTATTATGATTAAGGTATTCAGACAACAGGTGGCACATTTATTGATCCAATTTTGAAGTTATGATTTGTCCACTTTAATGTTTTATTATATATAGTATCTTTAGAGTAATCAATAAGGGGTTGGGAAGGGAAGCAGCTTTGAATGTGGAACTAGTGGGTGGGTGCCGTGAATATGGATCAATTTCCACAGGTAGAATCTTGTGCTTGTGATGGAGAATTATGTTGAGAGGCTGACCTTGTTTTTCTGGCAGAGGGTCAGAGGGAGATGATGGCCCTGCTACTAACCGATCACAAAAACTATCTACAAGACGAAGGGGTCTCTGAGGAGCCAGTTGCCAGGGCAATGTGGGTGTGATGTCACACTGGGGGGGGGGAGTTGTCATTTAACACAGGTTTTTTGGGCAAGGTGTTATGGGAACAAGGAGGCGGAAATTAGAAGACCTCCGTATGGGGGCTGAAGGTTAGAAGTACCTTGGCAGGCTGGCCAAAGGAAGGCTGGGACAGAGGCATGGAGATGTCTTGGAGCCCAGTGCTCTTTTGCTGTAGGGAGATGTAATGCCCCCCCACCATCCAAGAGCCAAGCTGTATATATGTGTGGAAAAAACCATACACCCAAAAGACACTGCAGTCTCTGTTGTGCCTCATTCCAAGGAAGCACAAAGCCTGGTTAAGTGCCAGGCTCCTAGAACCTCGCACCCCTCAACAGACATTGGAGTGAGCTATCACAATATTGTCCTAGGATGTTCCTCCCTTTAGAATGCACCAACTGGATGGAATTTCTACCCCGCCTTCCTCAGTCTGTGTCCTGTCTTCTTCACACATGCACATCTAGGAGCAACAACAAGGGAAAGGAGCCAAACTGTAGACTCCTGCAGCGAGACCCCAGATTCCCACCCGTGCCCACCCACAACTGTTGGGCAAAAAAGCACCCCCAAGGGTAAAAGGATGATCAAGGACTAGCATGTTTGTAATACAACCTTTATTAGAATAAAAGAAAAGAAGGGGGGTACTGGGCCTTTGGGGGAGGGGAGCTATCTAGTTAACTTGATTTCTTATGTTTCCGGTAAGATTTGCCATTTATGCATATTCCATAAGTTTTTGTATCCATTCTTCTTTCGCTGGGACTACTTCTTCTTTCCATTTTTGGGCAAGTAACATTCTTGCTGCTGTAGATGCACCCATACTCTTGGGGAAAAGAACCGCCAGGGATAAAAAAATGACCAAAGACTAGCATATTTGCAATAAAAACCTTTATTAGAATAAAAAAATTAATTGGGGAAGGGGGAAACTGGTCCTTGGTGGGGAGAGCTGCTGGCCTCACTGTTGCCGCTACCTGGAAGAGAAAAGAACAGAAAAGATTCTTAATATTTCCATTGAGGATCTCCAGGTGGCCCACATTATTCTCCCTTCCTCATCCAATCCCTAAACTCTTCTTAAATCAGGGAGCTGCCTCTCCCCCCCACCCCAGCCAGCCAGATTCTCTCTGGCCTCCCTGTTCTTCGTGGACAAAGATCAACACTCACCACTGGTGGAATCACTGGTGGCATCCATCCCCTGGTCCTTCGGCCTCACATAAATTGTATGAACTCTGATCTTCTTTCCATTAATCTTCACGGTGTCTTCGTCCAGGGGATGGATTTTTATGGAGCGGCAACAGGAGGCCAGCAGCTCTCTCAACCTTCGCAGACCGGAACATCTAGGGAAGAAAAGGAAGAAGGTCACGAAATGGATTCTCGTTATTTCTTCGCTACTCTCTATCCCTGCACTGCAAACCATTTCCCTCAAAGCAGCTAAGGGGGCCCTGAGGACAATCTTTAAAAATTAATCTAACCATGACCTGGTTCCCTATGTGTCTAAATCTTAAGGAATAGCTAAAGAAATAGGGGGAAGAATAAGAGATTCTACTTACAAGCGCGACGACTGAACCTTCATTATGTCGACAACCAAAAGCACTCTCTCTAAATACAATCATTAAATTCAAATAGTTGCTCTGCCCAAAGTTCTCAGCCAAATCACTCAGCAGGGGGACGTGTCACAATGGAAAACATGACTCTGTTACTTTAGCTACCTTGCTTAACAATGGGCATTGCTCCCCTTAATATTTATTTTTCAGATATATCTTCCAGTGGGTTAAGTGGTTTTATTCAATTTATTTAGGAAAGATCTAGAGCTGGCTTCATCCAGCACGGTGCACTTCTGGACAGGACAAGAAACACCTTGCAAACACACACACTTTTCAACATGGCGGGGTCACCAAGGGAAAACACTTCTGGCCTTGACTATGGCTGCTGTTTCTCACTTAAGAGTTAAAAAAAACCCTTCTCAACACCCTGTAGTAATCTGTCAAGTATTACGATGAACAGGAGCAGGACTTCACCCTTAGACCTCCTCGTCCCCCTGTTTCTTTCAGTTTCTGCCCAGTGTGTTCTGCCAATAAACAGCTTTCCTTAGGTTGCAAGGAAGTGAAATGTTATGAGTTTGTGGGTGACAGACTCCCCTTTGCCATGAGTTTCTGGGTGCCAGGCACTGAACCCCTGGACACTGAACATCTGGGGAGTTGATCTAAGCCTTGTTTCAATGTACCCCAAGCTCTACATTTGCTTCTTGGTTATTAAAAACTGTTTGAACCCATTTTATTTCATTCACAAAAGAAATCTGACATGTGATTATCATAAGGGTTTATAGACAATGGGTAACAGGTTCATTAATCCTTTTCATAAATTATTATTTGTCTACTTTAATGTATTATTTATATATAGTAATCATTTAGAGGTTGGGGTGGGAAGCAGTTTTGAATATGAAACTGGTGGATGGCTGTCATTAATTCAGATCCATTCCATAGAATCATAGAATCTTAAGAGTTGGAAGGGAACCAAGGGTCATCTAGTCCAACCCCTGCGATGCAGGAATCTCAATGAAAGCATCCATGACAGATGGCCATCCAGTCTTTGTTTAAAAACCTCCAAGGAATAAGAGTCCGCCACCTTCCAAGGGAGTCTGTTTGCTTTTATGAATGTTTAGTCGGAATCTCCTTTCTTATAACTTTAAGCCATGGGTTCGAGTCCTACCCTCCAGAGCAGGAGAAAACAAGCATCCTCCCTCTTCCGTGTGACAGCCCTTAAGATATTTGAAGATGGCTATCAGATCTCCTCTCAGTCTCCCCTTTCCAGGCTAAACATACCCAATTCCTTCAACATCCTCCTTAAATTGTGGCTCCCAGAATTGGACACATTAATCCAGGTGTGGTCCGACCAAGGCAGAATAGAGAGGTACTAATACTTCCCACGATCTGGACGCTATACTTCTGTTAACGCAGCCTAGAATAGCATTAGCTTTTTTGCTTCTGCATCACACTGTTGACTCATGTTAAGCGTGTGGTCCATCAAGACCCTTAGATCCTTTTCACAGGTACTGCTAGGAAGCCAGGTGTCCCCCATCCTGTATTAGTGAATCTGGTTCTAGGTGCAGAACCTTACATTTGTCCCTATTGAAATTCATTTTGTTGGCTTTCATCCAGTTCTCCAACCTGTTAATGTCCTTTTGAATTCTGATTCTGTTGTTTTCTGCAGCATTAGCTACCCCTCCCAGTTTGGTGTCATCAGCCAATTTGATGAGCATCCCCTCAATTCCTTCCTCCAAGTTGAACAACAACGGGCCCAGCACAGAACCTTGCAGCACCCCACTTGTCACTTTTTTCCAGGAGGCTGAGAAACCATTAATGGCTGCTCATCATTTCACAGTGGTGGGCAATGTTTGCAGCCCAGCGCACTGCACCACCATCTTCTCAGAGCCATGCTGCTCCTGTGGCCATTGTTCATCTGCTGGGGTCACCGCGGGGGCCTCTGAGTTCCTCCCAGAACCCAGCCATTTGAATCAGCCAATCTGCAGTGGGCACAGCTAGGAAGAGCGGACCACGCTGATGCAGGCTTCCCTCTGGTCTGCTCCTCAGATTTAAAGGAGACTAGAGCTGATGTCAGTTGTGGAGTTGGCCCTGGAGCATCAAGGAGGAAAGTCAGTGGGACACAAAGACCCAGAGAGAGGTAGAACATAGGACAAGGAAGTAGTGAAGATGAGGAAGCAGAGAACCGCTGGAGTTACCTGGTTGTTGGGCGAACCCCTTCCTCTTTCATACACATGATCGGCGCCATCTTTCCACACACAGGTTGTGCTTCCACATGGGGAGTAAGGTAGGTACACATTGCTTTCCATGGCGGTACTGGATAACCAAATTGCGGTGCGTTAGTGCCTAATTTTAAGAACAGATTGTTGGCATTGTTTCTCTTTAGATCTGCTGTTTTTCCCCTAAGTTTTGGGGCGTCTCGTATACGAGGCCCTAGCGGTGGAAATATGGGGACTTGACTTGTAACATATTGCAGTCTTAAGAAATTTTCCTATCAGTTTCATTCTGCCATGGGCCTGAATTAGGTGGTCGCACATAGGTGGCTGCCCAGTTAATGGTGAGGCCAGGTGGGCAGGGAGCTGGGCTGGTGGGCTTCCTTCCAGGCATAGGATGTGGTAGGTAGGTATATGTGGTGTGTATGTGTGTATGTATTTATGTATGCATGCATATAATTGCGGTATGTATGTGTGCTTGCATCTTTGGTGTATTATGAGTCTATCTACATAAGGCAGTGGGGTTCAAAGGCCAAATTGTGTATGGTGTTCTCCATGAGCCTGGGCTGGAAGACCATTTGGGTCTTCTCCAGCTCTACGATCCAATGATTTCTGGTATGATGTGCAGGGGTATGGTCTCCCATTAAGGAACGGCTGCATGGTCCTGCATCGCCAAGGATCGCCCCAAGGGTTCATACTCTATAATTATATAGGATTCTCTTGCAGGCCCTCAGCTCGGAGAGGGGCCTGAGGTCCTCCCTCCTGACTATTGTTCTTTTATAGTCAAAGTATGCTAGTAATGCGCCGTACTGGTCACCTGCTGATGGTCTTATCCCTACGTGTGCCATGCATTCTATAGCATAAACAGGCATAGGCATCTATGCACGTGGTTAATAGGATCGGGTGTGCATTTCTGTATGTATGGTGGTAGTTAATCCTGTGTGTGTGGCTAATCTTTTTAGGTATCGGTATATGGGGAGCCAAAGGGTGGCGGAAGGGACGTGGGTGGTGCTGTGGGTTAAACCACAGAGCCTAGGGCTTACCGATCAGAAGGTCAGCAGTTCGAATCCCCGCGATGGGGTGAGCTCCCGTTGCTCGGTCCCTGCTCCTGCCAACCTAGCAGTTCAAAAGCACGTCAAAGTGCAAGATAAATAGGTACCACTCCGGTGGGAAGCTAATCAGCGTTTCCGTGCGCTGCTCTGGTTTGCCAGAAGTGGCTTAGTCATGCTGGCCACATGACCCGGAATCTGTACGCTGGCCCCCTTGGCCAATAATGTGAGATGTGCGCCGCAACCCCAGAGTCGGTCACAACTGGACCTAATGGTCAGGGTTCCCTTTACCTTTATATGTGTAGCCGGGCTAGATGACCCAGAGGCCCTTCTAACCCTGTTTTCAGTAACAGGAGGGGAGGATACTGTTAATTAGTTATTCATTAGTCATGAGGTTGTAGGCATGTGCCCGCTTGCAGGGTTACAATGTATGGTTAGTTCGCACGTGATCTACGGTGCTCTTTATGTGGGAGTCTGCATTTATGTATTCTCTTCTTCAGCGCCTGGTCAGCTCAGCTGGTTGAAACATGATGCTGATGGGGCCACGGTTGCATGTTGGATCCTTATGGTGGGGTAGTGGGGTATTTCTGCATTGCAGGGGGTTGGACTGGATGATCCTTGGGGTCCCTGCCTGCAGTTCTACCTGCACAATTTATTTCTGAATTGTTTCTCAGTCATCTCGTCTGTGCTGTGCCAGCATGGAATCTTTAGCTGCTACAATTTACTACGCTTGTTGGGCCTGGGTATGTTGTGCCCCTTTAAAGAATTTTCCTCCCACCTGGGAGGTTTCCGTTGTCTTGGTTCTAAGAATGTACACACTCAGATGGTCACAGTTTCTGTTTTATATTCGTAGCGTTCCCTAAGCCAGTGTTTCCCAACCTTTTTTGGGCAAAGGCACACTTGTTTCATGAAAAAAATCTCGAGGCACACCACCATGTAGGATGGGGAAAGGTCACTTTTTACTTATGTAAAAAAAAAAAATAAAAAAATAGTAACAGCATAGAAGGTAATGGTTATCTCTTTGATGTCTGATGGGAGGGCATTCCACAGGGCGGGCGCCACTACCGAGAAGGCCCTCTGCCTGGTTCCCTGTAACCTCACTTTTCACAGTGAGGGAATTGCCAGAAGGCCCTTGGCACTGGATCTCAGTGTCTGGGCTGAACGATGGTGGCGGAGACGCTACTTCAGGTATACTGGACCGAAACCGCTTAGGGCTTTAAAGGTCAGCACCAACACTTTGAATTGTGCTCGGAAAGGTACTGGGAGCCAATGTAGGTCTTTCAAGACAGTCGTTACGTGGTCTCGGCGGCAGGTAGCAGCGCTCACAGCTTACGGACTGCACCGTGTAACAGGTGTCTGGCCCAGCAGCCTAAGGCGGACAAGCCACTGAAACAGGCATTCAGAATCCATTCATTTCATAAAACCTGCAGGGCTCAATCTCTGTGTTTGTGTATGTGTGTGTTTCTGTTTTGCCCAAGGGTCTGGGGGTGGGAGAGAGCTCTTTAGCATGATGCTTTTAAAACAATTAAATTATCAACAAACAAACCTGATGATACGAATAGCAACGTCAGGTGCTACCGGGGGGGGGGGGAGAAGGGGGCCTACTCGGAAGTAAATACTGCGTCCAGGCGCAATTAGCGCTGATTTAAGGTGCACCAAGACTGCCTAAAAACCTCACCAAAGATATGCAACAAAGCGCTTCGTTGCAGAGGGGAGAGTTTGTGCACCGTGGAGGCTGGAGGGCTTCTATTCTACATGCGGGGGTTGGGGGGCGAGGAAAATGTGCTCCGTGGGGGGGCGGGGAAGGCAAGAAAAGGAGCTGAGCTCTAACTATAGGCTCCCACGCTTGAGCAGGCCCGACTCGGTGGGGCGGACCACCCTCTCTCCTGGAGGAGGAGGAGATTCCCATCCACGGCGTGGCCTCCCGCGCTCCTGAACGGGAAATCTCTGCAGCCCAAGACTCTCCGCGAGGCAGCTCCTCCCTTCCTGCCTTGAGCCGCCGCCAGCCGCGCCCCCCTCCCCAGTTATCTGCTGCCTGCCAAGCCCCGCCCCTCTTCATTGTCCTCCCCTTCTGTTTATTCCCCTTCCTCCATCCCTCGCTTTTTCCCCTCTCTTTCCTTTTTTAAAAAAAATATTTTCTCTTCCCCTTCTTTTTTTCCACCCTTTCTTTTTTCTCTTTCTCCCCCCCCCTCCCCGCCCTCCTGGGTTAAAGGATTTGAGCAATGGGTCTGGAGGTGGAGCTCGTCGGAGGATTAGCCCGACTCGCCCGCCTCCCTCCCACGGCACACTAGGCAACGTCCGGCGGCACACTAGTGTGCCGCGGAACACCGGTTGGGAAACACTGCCCTAAGCGCAGGCTTAGATTCTGCGGCTCTGTGGCTCTTTCTTCTAACTCTTTGCTGTATAACTTCCTAATTTCAGTCCTTTTCCTTATTAAGATAATAATAACATGGATAAGAGTAATAGTAACAATATTATTAGCACCATCATGCTGCCTGCTAGGACAACTGAGCAACAAGGGGTCATTTCTCCACCTTGCACACGTAAGGACGCGGCAAGGGGCGCTCCTAGCTGAGCCGTGCAGGTGGCTAAAAAGATTAAGAAGACGGTGCTCTCTTCAGGGAGGAAGTGGGCCCCCACACCGTGTGTTTCTGCTGGAGGCAAGAAGGCAACATCGGTCGGCTCTCCCACCGCATCTGGGAGCCTTGCAACCACCATCAAGTGGTCAGCTCTCTCCTCCAGACGTCGGGTGAGTCCTTCCTTTCCCTCATCCCCTGATTATTCCTTTTCTAACAAATATTCCTCTTCTCGGTCGCTAGGGAAGGGACAACAGGGACAAAACTATTTCCCATTTAAGGCAGCGCTTGGAGCAGGCCAAGGCGCTCATGGCAAAATCTCGTTCTCCCCATCGCCGTTCTCAGAGGTTAGGCACAGAGGTGGGTCTCCTCCTCTAGTTTTTCTGACAGTTCCTCGTGCCCTGAATCACATAGGACACAGCGCAGGAAGAAGAAATACCGCTGAACTAGGAAATGGGGACATGAGTCCAGGAGAGATCCTTTGGATTCATCGGAGTCCCCACATATGTCTGCTTATTCTGATAGCAACTTAGAAGACCCCATTAAGCGGTATTGGGTTACAACATCTAAATGACCCAGCCTCCTCTTCTACTACTCTTCTTCCACTCTTGTAGAAACAAGAGTCATTGGCGTGAGCGCATCCTCAATGGCGAATTTATAGACATGTTTTCTTTACTATCGCCTGCTTCGCCGTGTAGTATAAAGTAAAAAAAGTCAAAAGAAAAAAAGAAAATTACTGTTGAACACAACTTCCATACCTGGATGACCGTGTTCTCTAATTACGTAGGTGTCATATCGCAAGCCTATCCTGACAGGGCCTGGCACCTCTTTAACTATCAGCATATCATCCTAAAAGTCAAATTGATGGCAGGGGAAGCTGCAGCCTGAGAGTATGGCAAGGAGTTTAGGGAAATGGCTGCAGAGGATCATACCGTTCAATGGGATGTAAAAGACAGGGACACTTGGTCGGAGCTGGTGTCTCCCTACATGGAAAAGAGATCAGACGTAGCCAAATCTGTGAAGCTGCCTCAGAAGTTTCTGCCTAGGGTGTGTTGGGAATTCAACAACGGTCCGTGCCACAGGGATAAATGTCGCTACGCTCACAATGTGAGTGCTGTGGTGGCTCACATCCCCATTCCAAATGTTTTCATGCCAGGACCTTTCTTCGCAGCTTCTGGAACTCAGGATCTACATTAGGAAAGAAGGACTTTAGAATGGCTGCCAGTACTGCGGGCTCCCAATCGGCAAAGAGACCCGCCTGAAAATGACCCGTTTTCCTCCCTAGGAGTCACTGGTGTGCCCACCCCTGGCCAGCATTGTGGCATTTTTTGGGTATCACACGTGACTGATATGGGGCAAATTGTGTAGTGTCTGTTGGTCCAGTTCTGAGGTAATGTTATTCCATGCAGCAAATTCCTTGGCCTTCTTTGGGGGCCCTGCGCATTGGTGAGTGCACTGTGGGCATGGCATCTCTCCCCACTCAGGTTTGGATATGAAAGATACCAAATTCCAGGGGCGTTGTCTAAAAATCAGAATTTGTTCTTCCAAAACTGATCAGTTCCACAGGGGCACTAGCCTAATGCTGGCTCCTTCACCCCACAATGGCCCCTGCCCTGTCTGTGACACCCGTAGGTTCCTGACATGGCCAACCCACTCATTCACACAAATGCCTATCCTCTCTCCCGGCGCCAGTTCACCGCAGTACTGAGAAAAGTCCTTGTGACATGTGTTGGCAAGACCTCTCCTCCTTCCAGAGGGGAGGAGTTGTGTGTGGGAGCAGACTCCGGCGTCAGCAGGGAGGCATATTCAGCCCTCTCCGTCAGCCTGCCCCTCAGCCACTGCGCCAAGCCCATTAGACAGCCAATAGGGCTGACTCGTGGGCGGGGCTTAGCCGTGCTTAAATGGCCACGGCGGCGCTGGGGCCCCATTCAACTTCCTTTGGATCAACACCTCCCTTCCTGTACAGTTTCCAGACTACTCTTTCTGCATCGGGGCTGCTACATCTGCTGCGGCCTGGGGTTTGGACCCTGTTCGCATGAAGGCCATGGGCTGCTGGCACTCTAAGGCCTATAAAGGTTACATCCAGCCTGGTCAACAATCTCTTACAGATTCCTTGTCAATCTTTAATTTTCAGCAAAAATGTTTGGATCTTCGGCCACAGCATCATCCACTGGGCAGTTTCCCACACTGCTGCAAATCACTGGAGAAAACACCTGACCATCCATCCCAGAGTGGACCAGTGCAGGATGTATTGGGATGCCCTCATGCCAAGGCTAAACTGAGCAATCACGTTTCACGGCCCCCCAGGTGGCTTGCTGCTTCGCCAGGGCAAAAGTGACCTGGTCGTCCAAAAGAGCAACAAACCAATTTGGTGGCAGTTGCAGACATTGGGGGACTTTGGGCAGCTATCCTGATACAACCATCCTATGGTCGGAGCTCCTTCCGGGTCTCCATTGTAGGGGGGCTGTTCAGCCTTCACGTCTCAATTATGCCATTGTCAAAACCGACAGGGCAACCCGCAACATGGCCCTGCGTATCAGCGGCCGAGTGATCAGACACCCAGACATCAAGCCTGACAAGCTGGAGGTTTTCATACCTGATGGTATACACCTGACCCCACAAGGGAACGAACTTTGGTTGAGAGAAGTGAAGCAGGGCTTTGAGGAATGGTTGGCGGACATTGGATTGATGGTATCAGCTGGAGGTAGTCTTGGCAGCGAGACTGCAATTTCACGGTCTCAGGGGGCAGTTTTAAGGCTTCGACGGAATTCTTTAATCCATCATGTGAAGTAGGGGTGGTGTCGCAATGCACCCCACCTGCGATGGCGGTATCAGGGTCCCCTTGAAAGGGTGTCCTGAAGGGAGTCTCAGACCGCAAGCGCACAGTGGTGGGTCAAGGATTCCCCTCAGCAAGTGGATGGGGACCAGCTGTGTAAACACACCTTTTGCAGTGACCCCATATTCCTGACTGACCCTGTCTTGTCTCAGACCCCAACAGGGACTGAGAGGGATGTACACCCAGTGCTTAAGCCAAGGTTTCCTACGTCTGAAATTTTAATAAAGTTGTGGCCAATTTTCATCCCAAAATACGTTGTCAGGCGTTTTTCTTTGTTGTGAAGTCTGGCTCCCTTGGGGGGGGGGGTACTGCGCTTTATTTCAAAGAAATCCAAGATTCCAGAACAGGAGGTCATGGAAGTTCAGTTCTTTGTATACAGTATGCCCAGCAAAACATGTTGAATCTTTTGAGAATATTCTGAGGTTTAGTATTTCATTTCCTGGGCGGAATACAAGAAAAGCAGTCTGCTAGGTTCCTTGCACAAAGCTGATATTGGCTGGCAAAAGGAAAGCTAATTTTAAAGCAGATAGTGGTGAAAATAACAAATCTGTGCAACTGCCTCTCAGAAATTGCCTAAATGCTATCTTATTCTGTTTTAACCAGCACTCAGTTCCAGCACTGAGGGCCTTCTGGCGGTTCCCTCACTATGAGAAGTGATATTACAGGGAACCGGGCAGAGGGCCTTCTTGGTAGTGGTGCCCGCCCTGTGGAACACCTTCCCACCAGATGTCAAATAAATAAAGACATCTGAAGGCAGCCCTATTTAGGGAAGCTTTTAATATTTGATGAATTATTGCATTTTAATATTTTGCTGGAAGCTGCACAGAGTGGCTGGGGAGGCCTGGCCACATAGACAGGGTATAAAATTATTATTATTATTATTATTATTATTATTATTATTATTATTACATCCACAAAGGAAGGAGCCAAACTGTAGACTCCTGCAGTTAGACCCGGGATTTCCACCCATGCTCAAAACTGTTGGAAAAAAGCAACCCCCAAGACCAGCATGTTTGTAAAGGAATAACACAAAAATTATCTGTTGTTTATCTTTTTTTAAAAAATATGTTTTTATTAAGTTTTACATAACAAATTTAAATTCAAACACATCATTCACCCCTTCATTTAGGATTCTCTGAATCCTTTGACTTCATCTGCCCTTCCATGGTTACCATTATCAATCTCTCTCTTTTTCATCTGCTTATCTTATTTTCTCTAATTTGCTAATAGAATAGCAATCCATTTTTCCATAGTTTTCGTAAGTTGCAAGCATTACTCAATTCCTGCCAAAGTTTTTGGTTGTTTAGAACAGTGTTCTCTCAAATGCAATATAAATTCCCCCCATTCTTTCTTAAAAATTTTCTCTTCCTGGTTTCTGATTTTCCCGGTCAGTTTCGCCAATTTGGCATAGTTCATCAACTTCATCAGCCATTCCTCTCTGGATGGAACTTTATCTTTCCCCCTCTCTGGGCCAGTAGTATCCTTAGTGCTGTCACCATGTACATGAATAGTCATTTCTGCTCCCTCAGAATCTCTATACCTAAAATGCCTAACACAAAAAGCCTCTGTTTCCCCCCACGAATGTTATTTTAAACATTTTTTTCAACTCATTGTAAATCATTTCCCAGAATGTTTTAATTATCTTGCACGTCCACCACATGTGGTAGAACGTGCCTTTCTTCTTACATTTCCAGCAAACATTTGAAGCAGTTCTATACAATTTTGCTAGTTTTACAGGTGTAAATTACCACCGATGCATCATTTTCATATAATTTTCCTTCAATGCACAGCACACTGTAATTTTTAAGTCTTCCCTCCATAACTTTTCCCAAGATGAAAATTGAATATTATGCCCAATGTCTTGTGCCCATTTTATCATTAATGTTTTGACTTCTTCATCCTTAGTTTTGCACTCTAGCAACAATTTATACAATTTAGAAAGTAACTTCACATTGTTTTCCAATAATTCCTTTTGAAACCTTGAGATTTCTGTACTAAATCCATCTTTCTTATCTATTTTAAACGCATCATTTACTTGAAGGTATTGCAACCAGTCTGTAACTAACTGTCTTATATCTTCAATTGTTGTTCTACTTCTATGAGCGACTCTTTGTAGCCTCTTTAAAAAGTCTGTTCCCTTGTGACGAGAGACCACACTGGAGACTCATGGTGTTTTGGAAATATATACTATTTATTTATATATATTTTTGTATTTTGGGGGACGGGGGAACTGGGTCTTGAAGGGGAGAGAGAGAGCTGTGCTGGAGCTGCTAGTCTCACTGCTGTCACTGCCTGGAAGAGAAAAGAAGATAAAAGATTCTTAATTTTTTCATCTATTATAATGTTGATAACCGATTTTTCCAACAAGGATCTCCAGGTGGCTTAGGTTATTTTACCTTCCTCTCTTCCTCATCCTATCCCTGAACTCGTCTGAAATCAGGGAGCTGCCTCCCCCCGCCCCGGCAAGCCAGATTCTCTCTGGCCTCTCTGTTCTTCATGAACAAAGCTCAACACTCACCGCTGGTGGAAGAACTGGTGGTATCCATCCCCTGATCTCTCAGTCTTACATAAATCGTTCTTACTTTGATCTTTCTTCCATCAACCATCACAGTTTCTTCCTCCAAACAGACAAGGGGATGGATTTTGAGGGAACGGCAGCAGGAGGCCAGCAGCTCTCGAATCTAGGGAAGAAGAGGGGAAATAGTCAGGAAATGGGTTCTAGATACTTTCTTGATACTCTATGACTCTGTGCTAAATTTGGGGAATCGGTCAGCTGAACCTGCTTTCAGAAACCTCTCATGGAGAGCGCAGCAAAGAGTTGAACCCATTTTGTCAAAGGACCCTCCAAAACTGGGAGATCCCCTTCTTGTGATGATGCCCACAAGGGAGAAGGCAAGCCATTCCCCTCCAAGCAGCTAAGGGGGCCCTGAAGATAATCTTTAAAAATTAATCTAATCATGACCTGGTTCCCTTTGTGTCTAAACCTTAAGGGATAGCAAAAGAAGCAGACTGCAGAAAGAAGAAGAGATATACTTACAGGCAAGATGAAGAAATTTTCATTTTTCAGAAAACACAATTTACACCAACGATCTCTTTTCTTTGAACTATCCATAAATAGGGGGACGTGTCAGAAAGATCCACAGACACCATCCATATCAGCAGTGGTGGCCTCCATCCCCTGGTCGCTTGGTTGAACATATAGTGATTTCATCTTCACTAATGTTTCCTTCTTATCCTTCATGACCATCATTCTATCCTCCGATTTCTCCCTCACAGACCCCATGGGTCTCTAACAGATCAACACTTGCCACTGGTGGAATCACTGGTGGCATCCATCCCCTGGTCTTTTGGCCTAACATAGATTGTTCTCGGTTTAATTCTCCTCCCATCCACGATGACGCTGTCTTCCCTCATACAGTCCAGGGGATGGATTTTTATGGAGCGGCAACAGGAGGCCAGCAGCTCTCTCAACCTGCGCAGACTGGAACATCTATGGAAGAAAAGGAAGAAGGTCACAAAATGGATTCTAGTTATTTCCTCGATACTCTCTATCCCTGCACTGCAAGCCATTTCCCTCAAAAAATCTAAGGGGGCCCTGAGGACAATCTTTAAAAATTAATCTAACCATGACTTGGTTCCCTATGTGTCGAAACCTTAAGGGATAGCAAAAGAAGCAGACTGCGGAAAGAAGAGATATACTTACAAGAAAGATGAAGAAATTTTCATTTTTCGGAAAACACAATTTACACCAACAATGTCTTTTCTTTGAACTATAGATAAATAGTTGCTCAGCAAAGTGACTCAGCAAGCGGAAGTGTCAGAAAGATCCACAGACACCATCAATATCAGCAGTGGTGGCCTCCATCCCCTGGTCGCTTGGTTGAACATATAGTGATTCCATCTTTACTAATGTTTCCTTCTTATCCTTCATGACCATCACTCCATCCTCCGATTTCTCCCTCTCAGACCCCCATGGGTCTCTAACACCAACTCTCACTCCAACTGCCTCCCTTGGAACTCTGGCCAGTCAGGAGCTGTTGTCAGTTAACGGTTTTCTGGCGGAGGAAAAAACACTTCGGTGACTCAACCTGCTCACTAAACAAACTTTTCTGTTGCATGTCCCACCCCCAAAAATTATTGCGTAGGCGAGGTTGCATATACAGTGGTGCCTCGCAAGACGAAATTAATTCGTTCCGCAAGTCTCTTCGTCTTGCGAGTTTTTCGTCTTGCGATGCACGGTTTTCCATAGGAATGCATTGAAAATCAATTAATGCGTTCCTATGGAAACCGCCTTCCCCCGACCTCTTCTGGCGGGCGGCATTTTAAAATCGCCCGGGACAGCGGAGGACTTCTCTCCCACCAGCCACCCCAAATGCATAATTGGGGATATGAAAAAAGCACCTTATGTCTGGGTGAGCGACAATGGCCACACAAAACATTATAAAATAGCAGTCAGGCATGGAAAGGTTTGTTTCTGTAAAAGACACCTGAAAAGCTGCTGACCTGAGCTATTTGGAGGAAGGTTTCTTTTTTTAAAAAAGAAAGATCTACACAGTACACTTGTTTCATTTCCTCTAAATACCACCAAAACACTGGATCTCCCTTCACATTGGCAGTGCTTTAATGGAGCAGAACAAACACTTTGTTTTACATGAACATGTTGTTCCAAATTGTGGTATTTGAGGGTGGCTGCATGCTGCACAAGAATCTTGTTTCAGATAAAGGGGAAGTGTTATAGAAAGCACAACAAATAATGGGGATATCCCTTCCTGCTTGCTTTTCTTTTGAGATCTTATGTATGTGTGGGCTTGGAAAGCAGAGTTGTCCCATCATGGCAAGTTCAGGATCACTCCCGCTATTTGTATAGTGTAGGTTGTATAAAGGTAAAGGTACCCCTGACTGTTAGGTCCAGTCGCAGACGACTCTGGGGTTGCGTGCTCAACTCGCTCAATAGGCCGAGGGAGCTGGCGTACAGCTTCCGGGTCATGTGGCCAGCTTGACTAAGGCGTTTCTGGCGAACCAGAGCAGCGCACAGAAACGCCGTTTACCTTCCCGCCGGAGTGGTACCTATTTATCCACTTGCACTTTGATGTGCTTTCGAACTGCTAGGCTGGCAGGAGCTGGGATTGAGCAACGGGAGCTCATCCCATCACGGGGATTCGAACCGCCGACCTTCTGATCAGCAAGCCCTAGACTCTCTGGTTTAGACCACGGCGCCACCCGCTGTCCGTGTAGGTTGTATGCTGGGCAACAAAACCTTGGATTGCTCAATTTATTTTCTCTGGGCAATGATCACATCTCTAATAGGGAACAGAAAAACAAAACAAACAACAGATTCAGAATGAGCTGCAAAGTCCCTTCAAAGCAAAGCAGGCAGTTCTTTCTCCACTCCAAGTCTAGAGAAAATAACATGCAGCAAGGAAGACCCAAACAGATGAAAAATGAAGCAGGTCCTCTACATTGATTGTCTAGAGAAGGGACTTCAAGGACATTACCATCCCTGAAATGTGTGCAACTCTAAATTTCTCCATAGAACTCGTCAATCATACCTGCGACATTAATCGTTGGCTAAACACACTGAAAGGTGCTCATATTTCATAAAGCAATTTCATCAAATGGTGCCAACACATTTTGCTTCATAATTTTTGTTCTATAGGAGCTGGAAACTTACATTTTTAAAATAAAAAATGGAGCTCAAAGTCTGGCCCCTTGCTGCCTTTGGGCCCAATACAGAATTACCGTATTTTTCGCTCTATAAGACGCACCAGACCATAAGACGCACCTAGTTTTTGGAGGAGGAAAACAAGAAAAAAATATATTCTGAATCTCAGAAGCCAGAACAACAAGAGGGATCACTGCGCAGTGAAAGCAGCAATCCCTCTTGCTGTTCTGGCTTCTGGGATATCTGCGCAGCCTGCATTCGCTCCATAAGATGCACACACATTTCCCCTTACTTTTTAGGAGGGAAAAAGTGAGTCTTATAGAGCAAAAAATACGGTACTTTCTGTAGCCCTTTCTTGTCTGCAAGCACGAACCCCACAGGGCAACCTTGGGAGTGCCAATGTTTCTCAGCCGGCCACACAGCAGTGAGGATAAAATGGGGGGATCATGTACAGGATAGAAACTTAATAGATCAATAAATCTTGATGTCCGTTCATATTTAATCTCCATTCACATTTAAGAGGATAAAAATAGGGTTTAACAGATTTTTGCCCTACTGTTACTGCCATTTTCTTGCATACCATATTCCAGAAGGTTAGCATTTGCCGGATTGCAGCCCTTTTGCTTAACTATCTTAGGTAAAGGACATAATTAGGCACATGACTGCGGTAAAAGGGAGGGAGGAAGCGGTTGTGTAACAGCAGTCAGTTTTTCCATTATGGATGTCTTGGTCTTCCATTTCCTTTGATAAGAATTCAATTCACTTTGAAGAAAAGGGGGGGGGGAGAGAGAGAGTAACCAAGAATGTTCAAGATCTAAGTCATGATCAGAAGATACACACACTCAAACATGAAATTGACTTACCCTTGAATGCTTTTGAGACCATAAAATTGACCACAGAGGGCTGTAAAAACATTTCACATCTATGTCACATCATACTGCATGTAATAGTGTCCTACAGTCAAGGTCTGATTGTTCTTTAGTGCCTCAATTCTCACCACCAACACAGACATAAGTTTCATTTTGTTAATTAATCTATTGATTAATTTGAAGGGTTTAATTAAAATAACATTGGGGCAGTTCAGTCTCATTACAGTGAAGGTGTGGAGTATGGGAGGAATGAAACACTGTGTCTACAAGACACCAACATGGTACAAACCCATTTAACAACACAATGGGTCACTTAAACTGATGGAGCAATTAAGATGCAGATGTGTTAAACCACTCAGTATTTTTTTTTTAATTCATACCTCCAGAAAGCTTTTATTTGAAAGGAAAAGGACATGAGCAAGGTTTAAGTGGTGTCTGAAATTTAATAGGAATCAGTGGTTTGTTACAGACACCAGAAACAACTCTGTATAGTATCATTTCATTTTTTAATCATCAATACATTTCAGTTTAAGGGACGCGGGTGGCGCTGTGGGTTAAACCACAGAGCCTAGGGCTTGTCGATCAGAAGGCTGGTGGTTCGAATCCCAGCGATGGGGTGAGCTCCCGTCGCTCGGTCCTTGCTCCTGCCAACCTAGCAGTTCGAAAGCACATCAAAGTGCAAGTAGATAAATAGGTACTGCTCTGGCGGGAAGTTAACGGCCGTTTCCGTGCACTGCTCTGGTTCACCAGAAGCGGCTTAGTCATGCTGGCCACATGACCCGGAAGCTGTACGCCAGCTGCCCTCGGCCAATAAAGCAAGATGAGTGCCGCAACCCCAGAGTCGGCCACGACTGGACCTAATGGTCAGGGGTCCCTTTGCCTTTACTTTACTTTGCATTTCAATTTAGAGCACATTTGGACTACAGTGGTACCTTGGGTTAAGAATTTAATTCGTTCTGGAGGTCCATTCTTAACCTGAAACTGTTCTTAACCTGAGGTTGTGCGATTTCTGTTCTCATCCTGAAGCAAAGTTCTTAACCTGAGGTACTATTTCTGAGTTTGTGGAGTCTGTAACCTGAAGCGTCTGTAACCCGAGGTACAACTGTACTTGGTCGCTGTTATTCTTATCTTAATCATCATTTTATTTTCTAATTTTATTAAATCATCATTATTATTTTGCTATTGTTCTGGTTTTATACTTAGATTTTACTATGAAACGGTACACCATGGAAGAGAAGTACAAAATCATGCGCTAAGGGACTGCTAGGGTATTCAACCGAGGATCTAGAAGGCAGAGAAAACCTTGAGAGTCATGCATTATGGTAAGCTGAGTCAGCACTTTAGTGCCATTGCAAAAGGCCATGAATAATACTCTGGGTGGCATGACTAGGGGAATTTCAAGAGACATAGGAAGTAATCCTACCAGTGACCTTAGCACTTACCAGATATTTGCATCTTAACTGTATTTCCTTCTGGTTACCACAGTTCAAGAATCGCCTAAACAAGCTGCTGGGGTATGGTGGCTATTGAGTGAAGAACAACAAGATTTAGGTCTCTAGGAAACACCAAGGGTATTTCTTTTAGTTTAGAAAAGTGTTGACTGAGGACAGATCTACACATCATCATTTTTTTAAAAAACAATATTTATATTTTTCAAATTTATACATTTTCATTAGTTTTACAATCAATTTAACATTTCAAAATTGGACTTCCTTCCTTCTCCCTCTTTCTGCGGTTCCTTAAATTTATTTTTTAATATCTTCTACATATCCAAATTCATTTAACTTACTCGTTTGATTATCTACTCTAAATATATACCCTTATAAAACTGCAGATTATTACAATAACCCTGCAAATATTTCAATCTGTTTCCAATTGATCTGCAAATATTCAATAAACCATTGCCATTCTTTCATAAGAAGTTTGTTATCTTGATTTCTTATTCTTCCGGTAAGTTTCATCATTTCTGCATATTCCGTAAGTTTTTGTATCTATTCTTCCTCTACTGGGACTTCTGCTTCTTTACATTGTAGGGCAAGTAACATTCTTGCTGCTGTAGTAGCATACATAAATAAATTTCTATAAAATTTAGGTAGTTCTGTCCCTATAATTCCCCCCAAAAACTACACATCATGGTAAGCACACAATGGCCACTGAAAATGGCAGCCTGCCAAGTTATCCCTGTGCCATTTAATACATCTTATCCATATTCTATGGGGACGCGGGTGGCGCTGTGGGTAAAAGCCTCAGCGCCTAGGGCTTGCCGATCGAAAGGTCGGCGGTTCGAATCCCCGCGGCGGGGTGCGCTCCCGTTGCTCGGTCCCAGCGCCTGCCAACCTAGCAGTTCGAAAGCACCCTCGGGTGCAAGTAGATAAATAGGGACCGCTTACTAGCGGGAAGGTAAACGGCGTTCCGTGTGCGGCTCTGGCTCGCCAGAGCAGCAATGTCACGCTGGCCACGTGACCCGGAAGTGTCTCCGGACAGCGCTGGCCCCCGGCCTATAGAGTGAGATGGGCGCACAACCCCAGAGTCTGGCAAGACTGGCCCGTACGGGCAGGGGTACCTTTACCTTTACCTTATCCATATTCTGTCATAACAGGTATCAGGGCATGGCTAAGCTTCATCACCCATTATCTATGGGGTGGGAGGACACTTGGCACAGAGTTGCTCTGAATTACTGTTAACATGCAGTTCCAGCAGAGGGGATGCTTCACTCCAGCGAATGGGAAAAACTTTGGACGATGCATTGTGTCAGTCACAAAAAGTGCACTTACTTGCGGACCCTTTCTGAGGTCCAGAGATGCCTGGGCTGCTTACTTTTGAGGCCCCTAGCTATAATAAAAATGTAAAAAGACAGCACACAAAAACTATAGTAAGGTAAAGGGGTAAAGGGACCATTAGATCCAGTCGTGGCCGACTTTGCTGCTCAGTTGTCGAACATTTCGGAAGTCGAACGGTCTTCCAGAATGGATTACGTTCGACAACTGAGCTGTCACTGTATTCATTTAAAGTAAAGGGACCCCTGACCATTAGGTCCAGTCGTGACCGACTCTGGGGTTGCGGCGCTCATCTCACTTTATTGGCCGAGGGAGCTGGCGTACAGCTTCCAGGTCATGTGGCCAGCATGACTAAGCCGCTTCTGGCGAACCAGAGCAGCGCACGGAAACACCGTTTACCTTCCCGCCGGAGCAGTACCTATTTATCTACTTGCACTGGCATGCTTTCGAACTGCTAGGTTGGCCGGAGCAGCCCCAGAGTCGGCCACGACTGGACCTAATGGTCATGGGTCCCTTTACCTTTACCTATAAGGATGAAAGAGGGGCTGTCCCAAACTTGCTGCTCATTCGTCCAATGTTCAGTGATAACAGCATCAATTATAGTGATAAGTTTATCCCAAAATTTTCCTTGGTGACTGTGTGTGAAGACTTCTCCGATTGCATTATTGACCCTTGTGGTTGCAATGATAAATACACAGACCTCGCATAATTCCTTGGATATTCACACCCCTAAGTTGAGGCAAACGATTGCTCTGCAAATTTGCTGAATCCAACAACTGATCAAACCAAACATAAACCAAAGGAAAGATCTCATCACCCTCTTTGGAATGTTTTTGGTGGGGCCTTATCTTAACTCCTTGTTCTTGGCACAAAATACTTTCCTTGTACCAGGCGGCCAAAGCACGGTCTGTACGTAACGCACTTGGTTGCATGAAAAGGTTGCTTAAGAACAATGTCAAATTCTATACAGAGGTTAACAGGCCTCAGGGCTGCCACCTTGTGGTATGGCTGACTAACAGCTTTGTCACAGACTGCGGTTTTTAAAAATGCACCCCTAAAATGTTTATAACAATTATACCAAAACATGTGTTTTCACGATGAACCTGTATCAAATTTTATTTTTGATTAATTAGGATCATGTAAACCAGACATTACCAGATTGAGGTATGTGGCGTATGATACACTGCCATGGACCCCTTAAAGGATGAGGCAGTATAGAATGAAGATGGCGCTGTGGTCTAAACCACTGAGCCTCTTGGGCTTGCTGATCAAAAGGTCAGCGGTTCGAATCCTCATGATGGGTTGAGCTCCCATTGTTCTGTCTCATCTCCTGCCAACCTAGAATTTTGAAAGCACACCAGTGCAAGTAGATAAATAGGTACCGCTGTGGTGGGAAGGTAAATGGCATTTCTATGTGCTCTGGTTTCCATCACAGTGTTCCGTTGCACCAGAAATGGTTTAGTCCTGCTGGCCACATGACCCAGAAACCTGTTTGTGGACAAACACTGGCTCCCTTGGCCAGAAAGCGAGATGAATGCTGCAACCACATAGTCACCTTGGACTGGACTTAACCGTCCAGGGGTCCTTTAGCTTTTACCTTTAGTATAGAAACACAATACAGGCAGCTCCTGATTTAGACACGTCCGAATGACGCATGATTGGCCGACTGCGTGAACTAGCAGGTTGGGGTGGCGGTGGATTGGTGGACCAAATGGGTGACAGCTGCTTGCAGCACTCCTCTGATTGGCCCAGCAGTGCATGTGGAGGGGAGCTCGTCCCGTTTTTTGAACAAAGAGTCCTTTTCTGGATCTAAACTGGGGACCCCTTGCCAATAATCTCTGAGCTTCTCTGTGATGCCAGGACTCCTACTGCTCTTGGTGCCGACTAGGTTATGAGGCTGTGTGCTTGTGAGCAGTGTGTTAGGATTGGGCTAAGGAACGTCTCTTCACAAGTGTGACCCCCCCCCCAATCCAGATTTTGCTATGAGCATAGTAGCCTGTACCTGAGAAGGGAAGCACACATCCGTGAAAATCCTAGTAAAATATTCTGAACACGGAGCTGAACTTGTTAAAAAAAACCAAAAACTTTTTGCTTCCATTCTGATATTCTCTTTCCAATAAACCGTTAAGATGCTGAAGAGTAAGGTAAAGGTAAAGGGACCCCTGACCATTAGGTCCAGTCGTGGCCGACTCTGGGGTTGCGGCGCTCATCTAGCTTTACTGGCCGAGGGAGCCGGCGTACAGCATCCGGGTCATGTGGCCAGCATGACTAAGCCACTTCTGGCAAACCAGAGCAGCGCACGGAAATGCCATTTACCTTCCCGCCGGAGCAGTACCTATTTATCTACTTGCACTTTGACGTGCTTTCGAACTGCTAGGTTGGCAGGAGCAGGGACTGAGCAACGGGAGCTCACCCCATCGCGAGGATTCGAACCACCGACCTTCTGATCAGCAAGTCCTAGGCTCTGTGGTTTAACCCACAGCACCACCTGCGTCCCTGCTGAAGAGTAATGCATATTATTAATGCCGATTGCATTTTTGCCAATAAGTAGGGGATCTTCAACTTGAACTTTTATATTTTGAACTGATGCTCACATTTTCAATCCCAGCCTGGATGTATTTCAAATGCTATTTAAAACAGATTACAGTCTCACTTTTTAAAACAAAAAAGCCCACAACTTTAGTTGACTTTGGCTTGTATCCTTGTTTCTGGGGAAACTAAAGGAAATGCCTAAGGATAAACAACAAAAATATCCCTTCTTTTTGCAATAGGATTTTCTCGCTATGTGAAGTCATAGGTGAGTTTTCTTTTCTTTTCAGTGACTCACTACAAAAAGGGATAGTAGTGGATAAAGCATTACACATAATTCATACCGCAGGAGGAGAGGTATACATAACGTTTTGAAGGAAGTGCTATCATCATTCGTTCATTTCCCTTCTCGGGAAACCACCCAAATGATTTTGTTTTAGTAACACACTTAGTTGTAATACAATTTTAGATCTAATCCAGATCCCACTGAGGTCAAGAGGGAAGCACCCACCGTGATGTTCATGGTTGTGTCACGTAGTCGCTAACGGACAGGGGCGGCCATTTTGTGCACTAGTATCCAGGAATAAGTCCTACTGGATTTATTGAGACTTATTTTTAAAAGCATTTCAAGCTTTTCCAGGAGACGTTTTTTGTGCTTTTGCTGATAGTCCTTTTTATTTTTCTGTAACGCCACTTCACATCTAGAAATTATGAACCTCCCTTCTCTGTTGCTATGTATAGATTTTGCCCAGACTGCAAAAGGGGGTCAGGAGGGATAAAAGTAAAAGTAAAGAGCGCTCTATGTGCTTGCTCATCTATACCACCATTGCTCCTGGCAAAACAGCTTTTGCGAGTGTTTGTGTTGTTTAAGAGACTTCCAAATATAAATGGGGTTGGGGGGTTGGGGGGGAAAGCTAAGACTAACGACAAAGCGTGTTCTCCTTCATGGAGAGCACGTGTTGCGGTGGGGGCCGACAGGACACTCCAAAGTTGTGGGGCGGGCTAATTGATCGTTGGCCACTGTTGCGATTGGGCTTCCCTTGTTGTTGGGAAGAAGTTAATGTTGCCATTTGTTGATTGACAGCCAGAAATGCTAAAACTCCTTGCACGAGGCTAGGGCTTCCTCTTTTCGCCCCATGCATCGGATTGCCCGTCCCCCCCTCCCTATATTTAGGGTTGTTCGCTTGACCTTGCTATGCCTGTCATGGGGTCGTCTGCTCTTGGGGCAGGGGCCCGGTAGGAATTTTGTCCATCTGGCTGATTGGCTGGGGCCATTTGGTTTTTGCCTACTGCGTAGGAAATTGTCACAACTTGTAAGGTTGCAGTTAGGCATTGGTTTATGGTTTGGTTGGTTGAGGGGCATGGATTGGCTGTGCCTGCCCCTCTAATGCTGCTGCTGCAAGGGATTCCGTTAAAGGAATGCAGTGGTACCTCGCAAGACGAATGCCTCGCAAGACGAAAAACTCACAAGATGAAAGAGTTTTTCGTTTTTTTAGTTGCTTCGCAAGACGAATTTCCTATGGGCTTGCTTCGCAAGACGAAAACGTCTTGCAAGTTTGTTTCCTTTTTCTTAAAACTGCTAATACCCAGGGTATTTGCTTCGCAAGACGAAAAATTCGCAAGACGAAAAAACTCGCAGAGCGAATTAATTTCGCCTTGCGAGGCACCATTGTACAGGGGCTCACCATTGCTTTCGTCCAAACCCTGTCAAGGGGCTAGGGCCACGCAAGAGCCCCTGGTTGCATTTGGGGAAGGCTGAGGGCAGGTTCCCCGCTCCGTCGCTACCCCCAAGTGTATTCCCCTTTTCTGACTTTTGCAGGCTTGCGGAATGTCAGTCTGTCCCCCACTGGGGGGCAGATAGTCGCAACCAATGCCTAAGCAAACACTCACATTTTTTGTATTTTAATAAAGCTGTGGCCAAAATTATGCCAAAACCTTAAACAAAATTTCTGTGTGATGTGTGAGTTATTTGGGGTGGCCCTGGGGACCTCGACAGGCAAAAAGTAAAACTATTGCTTTTCTTCTGTCTGTGTCATAGACATGACTGCACACAAGCAAGAGGAGCAGTCTGAGTGGGGGGGGGCACAGTTAGGCAGAAGGGGAAGAGGGAGGCTTGCCTTTTTCTCAGGCAGCTGAAAGCCGTGGGCTGCAGCCAGGGGCGTAGGAAGGGGGGTGCGGTGGTATAAAATTTTATTCTTCAAAATCAGAGACAACAAATTCAGTAGCATCATTTGCGTTTTCTGCTAGCTGGAATATGTCTGAGAATCAACAGCTTAAAATATAAAGAATGTGGAAAAGCTTTCAGTGATGTGGTTAAGTCTTTTTGCTTTGGTTGCATGTTAGAACTTAAAAGGCTTTTTTTAAAAAAAAATGCCAGTGGTTTTGTTTATGAAAAATAATAACAAACATCTTTGCTTTTCAGCTTAAAACTGAATCTATTCCAAGGCTTTATTTCAAAGAGATCCAAGATTCCGGAACTGGAGGTCATGCAAGTTCAGTTCTTTGTATACAGTATGCCCAGCAAAACATGTTGAATCTTTTGAGAATATTCTGAGGTTTAGTATTTCATTTCCTGGGCGGAATACAAGAAAAGCAGTCTGCTAGATTCCTTGCACAAAGCTGATATTGGCTGGCAAAAGGAAAGCTAATTTTAAAGCAGATAGTGGTGAAAATAAGAAATCTGTGCAACTGCCTCTCAGAAATTGCCTAAATGCTATTTTATTCTGTTTTAATCTTCTTTCGCTGGGACTTCTTCTTCTTCTTCTTCTTCTTCTTCTTCTTCTTCTTCTTCTTCTTCTTCTTCTTCTTCTTCTTCTTCTTCTTCTTTCCAGGAAAGAACCTCCAGGGATAAAAAAAAATGACCAAAGACTAGCATATTTGCAATAAAAAATTTATTAGAATAAAAAAAAATTAATTGGGGAAGGGGGAAACTGGGCCTTGGTTGAGAGAGCTGCTGGCCTCACTGTTGCCGCTCCCTGGAAGAGAAAAGAACAGAAAATATTCTTAATATTTTCATTGATTATTACTGCAAGGATCTCCAAGTGGCCCACATTATTCTCCCTTCCTCATCCAATCCCTAAACTCTTCTTAAATCAGGGAGCTTCCTCCCCCCCCCCCCACCCAGCCAGATTCTCTCTGGCCTCCCTGTTCTTCGTGAACAAAGATCAACACTCACCACTGGTGGAATCACTGGTGGCATCCATCCCCTGGTCCTTCGGCCTCACATAAATTGTATGGACCTTGATCTTTCTGCCATTAATTTCAACGGTGTCTTCGTCCAGGGGATGGATTTTTATGGAGCGGCAACAGGAGGCCAGCAGCTCTCTCAACCTTCGCAGACCGGAACATCTAGGGAAGAAAAGGAAGACCTGGTAACCTATGTGTCTAAATCTTAAGGAATAGCTAAAGAAAGGGGAAAGAATTAGAGATCCTACTTACAGACGAGATGGTTTCATTATTTTTTTTCAAACCACGATTTGCTTCTTCCTCTTTCTCTCAAAAAGCTCTAATAGATGTTCTGTCCAAAGTTCTCGGCCAACCAATCAGCAGGGGACGTGTCACAATGGAAAACATGACTCTGTTACTTTAGCTACCTTGCTTAACAATGGGCATTGCTCCCCTTAATATTTATTTTTCAGATATATCTTCCAGTGGGTTAAGTGGTTTTATTCAATTTATTTAGGAAAGATCTAGAGCTGGCTTCATCCAGCATGGTTCATTTCTGGACAGGACAGGAAACACCTTGTAAGCACACACACTTTTCAACATGGCGGGGTCACCAAGGGAAAACACTTCTGGCCTTGACTATGGCTGCTGTTTCTCACTTAATAGTTATTTTTTGATATCTTTTGTGTTACTGTTGTTGTGTGGAAAATACTAATAAAATTCATTATTATTATTTTTAAAAAAGTTAAAAATAACCCTTCTCAACACCCTGTAGGAATCTGTCCAGTATTATGATGGACAGGAGCAAGACTTCACCCTTAGACCTCCTCACCCCCCTGTTTCTTTCAGTTTCTGCCCAGTGTGGTCTGTCAATAAACAGCTTTCCTTAGGTTGCAAGGAAGTGAAATGTTATGAGTTTGTGGGCGCCAGGCACTGAACCCCTGGACCCTGAACATCTGGGGAGTTGATCTAAGCCTTGTTTAAATGTACCAGCCAAAATTATTTTTGGCTATTAAAAACTGGTTGAAAGCATTTTATTTCATTCACAAAAGAAAATCTGCCATGTGATTATGATAAAGGTTTATGTAATAAAGGTGACACGTTTATTGATCCTTTTTGTAAGTTGTTATTTGTCTACTTTAATGTATTCTTTATATATGGTAATCAATAATGGGGTGGGAAGCAGTTTTGAATATGAAACTGGTGGATGGCTGTCATTAATCCAGATCGTATTCATAGAATCTTAGAGTTGGAAGGGACCCAGGGGTCATCTAGTCCAACCCCCTGCAATGGAGGAATCTCAGCGAAAGCATCCATGGCAGATGGCCATCCTAGCTCTGCTTAAAGACCTCCATGGAAGGAGAGTCCACCGCCTCTCATGGGAGTCTGTTCCACTGCCCAACAGCTCCTACTGTCAGAAAGTTTTTACGAATATTTCGTCAGAATCTCTTTTCTTGTAACTTGAAGCCATGGGTTCGAGTCCTACCCTCCAGAGCAGGAGAAAACAAGCTTGTTCCCTCTTCCGTGTGACAGCCCTTAAGATGTTTGAAGATGGCTGTTAGTCCTCTCAGTCTCCTCTTTTCCAGGCTAAATGTACCCAGCTCCTTCAAGCGTTCCTCATAAGGCTTAGTTTCCAGACCCTTGATCATCTTGGTTGCCCTCCTCCGCACATGTTCCAGCTTGTCAACATCCTTCTTAAATGGTGGTGCCCAGAACTGGACACAGTATTCCAGGTGTGGTCTGACCAAGGCAGGAGAGAGCAGGACTGTGTATTCCCTTGATCAGGACCCTGGACTTCCGTTGGTGCAGCCTAGAACAGCGTTAGCATTTTTCTGCTGCTGCACATTCCTTGTGGCCGAGGCTCAGAGTAACACCGGGACCCTTCAGTTCATGGTGTCAACATGACTGTGAGGTGTTGCAAGTCATTAACTACAAGCCTCATGGCCATGTCTCTGAAAACACAAACAATACCAGCTTTTAAAAGTTGGCTAGCATGGCTTCTTTAATCTTTGTGCATTGCCCCACCTTGTGGCTGAATCATAAAAAAGCACTGACTTTTATATATTTATTGACCTCTAATTGCAAGAAGGTTTCATTGACTTGGATTATAATCTTTATAAATTGGAGCTGTGGAGTAGTTCCTGGAGAGTAGTTCCTCTGACATACAACACTTCCAGGTTGGATGTCATTATTTGTTCCCTATATGTCAATGGAAAGAGGTAATCAGGTTACACTCAGAAGCATCATTTGAGTACCCAATTCTTTTGTTGTACAGACTAAACAACACTGTGACAAGCTAGCTGACTTCTCTGGAAAAGAATATTTATTTTCTTCTACTGCCGTTATAGTCCTTTCCCCTGGGAAATCAGTTTCAGTGAGTTCAGCAGGCCTTAGGTAAAGGAAAAGGTACCCCTGCCCGTACGGGCCAGTCTTGACAGACTCTAGGGTTGTGCGCTCATCTCACTCTAGAAGCCGGGAGCCAGCGCTGTCCGCAGACACTTCCGGGTCACGTGGCCAGCGTGACGAAGCTGCTCTGGCGAACTGGCACCAGAGCAGCACACGGAAACGCCGTTTACCTTCCCGCTATAAAGCGGTACGTATTTATCTACTTGCACTTAAGGGTGCTTTCGAACTGCTAGGTGGGCAGGAGCTGGGACCGAACGACGGGAGTTCACCCCGCCGCGGGGATTCGAACCGCCGACCATGCGATCGGCAAGTCCTAGGCGCTGAGGTTTTACCCACAGCGCCACCCGCGGCCCTTTACTTCCTAGTAATTCATTATTTAGGATTGCAGTGAATGCCTGCCAAACTTACATACACTTACTCAGAAGTAAGGCTCTCTGTATTCAAAGTATGGGTTACCTGAATAATCGGCATCAAAGTAAATTTGTACAGGATTACAGTTTTTGGGTGCTTCCAAAATGTCACTGTTTTCAGGTGGGATTCAGGAAATTCAGGTCTCACAAAGCTGATTTGGAGGTTTTGTACTACATACCCACTTCCCAAAAGATCTGACTTTTTGGGGATAAAGAAAGTTACAGAAAAATGCACCGCAAAGCATTGGTGCAACAATGGTTAATCTTTTTGCTAACAAATCAGAGTGACTGCGTGTTTAATAGCCAACATAATCTAATCTCTCTGCAAGCAAATCTAACTGAATGTTCAATAAACAAGTAATCTGTAAGCTTTAACTTTTTTTTTTTAAGGGAGGGTGTATATACAGTACTGCTTTAAGGCTTAGTCATTTTTATTCCACCTGTCAGTCACAAACAATAGGCCTCCGATTTAGCTAATAACCATTTACACAAATTTCATTTTGGTTCAACTGTCACTTAAACCGTTTGAAAGAGTCAAACATTAAAATAGTAAAGGAACCCCTGACCATTAAGTCCAGTTGCGAATGACTCTGGGGTTGCGGTGCTCATCTCGCTTTACTGGCCGAGGGAGCTGGCATTTGTCTGCAGAGTTTTTCCAGGTCATGTGGCCAGCATGACTAAGCCACTTCTGGCGAACCAGAGCAGTGCATGGAAACTCTGTTTACCTTCCCACCAGAGCAGTACCTATTTATCTACTTGCACTGGTGTGCTTTCAAACTGCTAGGGTGGCAGGAGCAGAGACTGAGCAATGGGAGCTCACCCCATTGTGTGGATTCGAACTGCCAATCTTCTGATTGGCAAGCCCAAGAGGCTCAGTGGTTTAGACCACAGCGCCACCTGCGTCGCATAGTCAAACATTAGGGCAACACTAAGAGCAGCACACTAACTAATTGCACAACCCTGATCGATCAAAATGAGCAGGCCTTCACTGTTTCCTAAAAGGTGGCAGAGCTTCTCCAGGGCCAGATGAACTGCATCCAAGAGTATTAAAAGAACTGGCAGATGTGATCTCAGAACCACTGGCAGTCATCTTTGAGAATTCCTGGAGAACAGGCGAAGTCCCGGCAGACTGGAGGAGGGCAAATGTTGTCCCTATTTTCAAAAAGGGGGAAAGAGAGGACCCAAATAATTACCGCCGAGTCAGTCTGACATCAATACCAGGGAAGATTCTAGAGCAGATCATTAAGCAAACAGTCTGTGAGCACCTAGAAAGGAAGGCTGTGATCACCAATAGTCAGCATGGATTTCTGAAAAATAAGTCATGTCAGACTAACCTGATCTCGTTTTTTGACAGAATTACAAGCCTGGTAGATGAAGGGAACGCAGTGGATGTAGCCTACCTTGATTTCAGCAAGGCATTTGACAAGGTGCCCCATGATATTCTTGTAAAGAAGCTGGTAAAATGCGGTCTTGACTATGCTACCACTCAGTGGATTTGTAACTGGCTGACTGACCGAACCCAAAGGGTGCTCATCAATGGTTCCTCTTCATCCTGGAGAAGAGTGACTAGTGGGGTGCCACAGGGATCTGTCTTGGGCCCAGTCTTATTCAACATCTTTATCAACGACTTGGATGATGGACTCAAGGGCATCCTGATCAAATTTGCAGATGACACCAAACTGGGAGGGGTGGCTAACACCCCAGAGGACAGGATCACACTTCAAAACGACCTTGACAGATTGGAGAACTGGGCCAAAACAAACAAGATGAATTTTAACAGGGAGAAATGTAAAGTATTGCACTTGGGCAAAA